AATGAGGCATTCATTCAGTTTACTATAGCACGGCGGGATTTCTTTTGATATCGCTCATTAAAATCAACTTTGAAGTGGTGGTGTAGCTGTAAAAATGACCCAAAATAATTTACTAACTCTCTTTAATGTGTTCTTTCTTAAGATTGTCTTTCTACCGATATTCATTTTCTTGCCACTAAGTTTATACTTCAACTATATAGCCAATCCACGATGTGCTATTAAATTTGTCTATAATAATAGTATGGCTGGCTGCTGTTTTATTATTATCTTTTTCTATTGTCTTGATTTTGTTAAAAAGAAATTCACAGTGGAAGATAACGAGGAACGTACCCGAGTTATCAGACAAAAAAAAAGTTAATGCGATATCTACAAAATGACATATGGTCCTAGGGGCGGCTAAGTAACGGAAAGGGCAGCATGATGATTTGAAGCTTTTTCGGGGATGGAAGAATTTTGAATCTTTTGTGTTTTAATCATTAGCCTTCTCAAAGCCTCCATTATGGTTATAGAAAGTACCAGTCTGTGCAGAAATTAGGCTACCCATTTGCCATTCATTTTCTCAGCAGTCCTTTTCTTTTTTGGTTAGAAAATAATTTCTTTAACATCAATTCATAAAAGTTACATCGATCATTATTCCCTTTCTTTGTTATATCTTTAAAAAAATCCTTCGCCTCTCAAGTCACTTGACTTGACTCACTGCTACTTTCCCCCGTTTTTGGCATTCTCTATGAATATTCTGGAGTTAGAAACTTAAGGAAAAGGCGAAATGTGTAACACTTAACAAGGTAGTTTTGTAAACAAGTAACCTCAAAATATTGAACGCATGTACGGACCTGGGTTTTTTGTCCAAAATCTCCACTGTTCCCCGTCAGCCTCCACCGTCTGTGCCTGCCCAAAATTGTGCCTATGAGGACAGACTTGGTCTGGTATCGTTGTGTATTCAGGATCCATAAATGGATCACCCGAGTTTCTAAAGGGAATTTCACTTTGAAGTTCCTATCCCTGCTGAAATTCGTTCCTAATTCAGGTATCTCCAGTACCTAGTTACTTATTCTTAACTTTCATGTCATTTATCTTTTCTCACATATTTATTTCACCTGTGTTCTCAGGGTACACCTTTTTTCATAATAGACAATTTTTAAAAAGAGGACATTTTTTGGATTGAAAACCCCAATTTCATACATGGTAATTTAGAGTCGCTTATATAACATGATACATTATACAACTGCATGTGAAGCTCCAAAACAAATGTCAATGGCTGAAAAGAAAAGAAAAAAAGAAAAGAACCTTACATTTGGTGCCCTGTTTAAATATTGAGACTTTATCTAGTTTAAGAAGTATTTTTGCAAAAGCATAGAAGATATTTCTCCGTAGAGTGTTTTTAGATAATATAAATAACATTTTAAAGCAATTAGAAGTTAACAAATATGAAGATCCCATAAAGCCTTATGGTTTTCTAGCTTTACATATATAAATTGTCTATTATAAAAAAGCATACTCTACATCTTATTATTTCTGTCTTATTTAATACCACACAAACACACTATACACACCATACACACATAAAAGCTTACTACTACTATTATTATTATTGTTGTTATTTTATATATTGCAATATTAACATCTTTCAATGTTCTCTTTTTACAATTATCCTTATCAGAATAATACCTGCAATTATCCCTTTACGCTTATTTTGTAGTTCTCTTTATCATTCAATTATATTAATAATCATAACAAAAGTACAGAAATGAATATACAGAATCTTTACAGAGAAAATAAAAGAAGAAAAAGGTGGTACGATTCTTAAACCAAAATATGGATGAAATTACAAAGTTTTCTTTTTCTTTTTGTTGTTGCTGTTGTTGCTACTGTATATCACATCATTATATGTGTACAGCTTAAAGACATAAAGACATAAACCTTTATCAGGTTTAGTATGAAATTTGCTCAATTTAAGAGAAAGAATACATATATGTATATAATGCCTACTTCATTTGTAAAGAATATATTTTTATTTTTTATAGATATTTTTGAATCTTTATATTATTTGCTGGGGAATTCTTTTAGGTATTCATCATGCAATTTCTTTTGCATGTCCCATTCTTTCTGAAGCTTCTTCTTTCTACTCTTTGTAATCTCTTCGCCATCCTTGGAGTGTGTAGGCATACCGTTAGTGTCAAAAGTCTTGAATTCTTCCGAATTCTTAAACATCTCTAAAGGAGACACCTTGCCCTTCTCGAGGCGCTCAAGTCTCTTCTTCTCTCTTTCCGCAGCAGCAGCAGCCTTCTTGGCCTCTTTCTCAGCCAAGAAAGCAAGCTTCTTTTCACGTGCCTTTATCAATTCCTCGCGGGGAACAAGTTTTACTAATGCAGTACCGTCTGTGTAAAGTAATCCATAAGATGTAATAGCAATTAATTCAATTTGACCATCCCATTTTTGTTCTTGTCTTAGTATTCGTGATTCTATATACTTACCATCTTGGTCATCAAGGGCAACACCAAGATCAACCATCTGAGTATCACGTAGACGATCGCACAAATCCAAGAATTCCTTGTGGGGAGCCTGGTCGCGAGCCAAGGATCTGACTTGGTCACGATAAGAAGACAAGGCGTGGAGGTAAGGCATCAACACATCCTCTGTCTAATAATTAAAGTATAGAAATCAATACACATTTTTTGCATTCTCAAAAGAGAAGCTTTATGCTAATAAAACTTACACTGACACCAGCTTGGCCTGACGCACCGAAACCGATCTCTGCACCATTTTCTGCGACACCGAAAATCTAGAAAGAAAAAGAAAAAATGCACGGCAAACACAATATGTTAAATATATGTATATAAGAATTAATTCAATAAATGACACAGTCATATACCTTCATCATGTTGGTAGTCCACTTGGCGACCTTGCCCAAGAGGTGAAGGTTAACCAATTTGGCACCACCAGCCATGTACTTGTTGGTCTCGTTGATCAAGTTCATAATCTCCTCCATAGCAGTAGGTGTGTTGAATGAATCACACAAAGCAGCGTGCACAGCATCCTGCTTTTGCTGTAAACTATTTATCCCCGAGCAAAAGTATCAACACAATATGCTTATATATATGTGTGTGCGTGTGTTCATTTCTTTGTACTTACACTTCCAATAAACGCTTCTCGGCATCTCTGTAGCGGTGAGTGATGGATCCATCGGCGTGTTCATCAGCACCGCGGGAGCCATCGCTGCGAATACGGTTCATAATAGCCTTGGTGTTGTCAAAGAAGTTCTTGATGGTGGTTTCGATCTGGATAGTTTCCTGCATGCTTGATTGCTTAAAGTCCATCTTGGCATCCCACTGGTGACGCAAGAAGAAAAGACGAAGTTGGCGAGCAGAGAAGGTCTGGAGAGCTTCCTGAATGGTAATGAAGTTTTTCAAACTCTTGCTCATCTTTTGGCCCTCTACGTGCAAATGACCAGCATGCAAGAAGTAGTTGACCCACTGACCGCAGTCATAATAGGCTTCGGCCTGAGCAAGTTCGTTGTCGTGATGAGGGAAGGCGAGATCAATACCACCAGAATGGATATCCATGTTTTCACCCAATACAGCACTAAGAATAATATAATTTACTTAATATATGTGTTGTTCATGTCGGTTGGTTGGTACTTTTTTGTTTTGATTTCGTTTTTTTTACCTGGCCATTACTGAACACTCAATGTGCCATCCAGGTCTACCCAAACCCCAGGGTGAGTTCCATTCGGGCTCTCCGGGCTTAGAAGACTTCCAGAGAGCAAAGTCATTAGGACTCTTTTTTCCTTGTAACTTGCTTCCTAAGGATCCCTCGCCATCCTCAATCAAAGCCTGATCACCCTTTGACCAGGGCTCCAACTTGGCGTAATGATGGCCGTGATGACCATCATAGCGGGTAGTATCAAAGTATACAGAGCCGTCTACAGCATAAGCATAACCGTTGGAAATGATCTTCTCGACATAGGTCACAATCTCAGGCACGTATTCACTAACACGGGTTTGGACATCTGGAGCACGAACCTAAAGGAAATAGTATGCATATTAGAGTAAATGAATGAGTATATTTACAGATTGGATCAGCTTCAGCAGCATAGAAATACATACATTAAGTGCATCCAAATCCTTAAAGAACATATCTTCCCAATAGGCAGGAAGTTCTCTGAAAACCTTGGGATCATTGACCTCGTTTCCTTTCTAGAAATATTAATCCAGTTACTCGGTAAATATATGCAAATTTATCCATATATATATATAAAGAGATTCGAAAACATACTCTTTTATCGAGGTAAAGAGACAACACAAATTGAGAGGCTTCCAACAATTCATCTGCAGCCTGCTTGGAAGTATCTTTCTTCTCCAAAGCCTGCTTAGCTTTCTGAACAGCATCAAACGAAACTTGCTAATAAAGTAAAATACAGGAGACATATTATATTAAATTAATATATATTTGTACACAAATGAACCATTCATTAAAAAGAAATTACTCACCAGAGCGCTCAAATACATTTTGAATTTCTCATCAATTACTACAGCCTTGGCAATCTCTTCGGGAGTCATCTTCTTAACAAACATGTTCCAATCCTGGGTAGCAAGAGCAACGGCACCTTCGATCTTGGCAAGTTTGGAATCGATAAATTCCTTTCTGGCTTTCTCGACTTGGTTGATCAAAGCGAGATCAAGCTCTTTAGTGTTTGCCTTGTGGTTTTTAAACAAATAGTCTTGACGAGCACGGAGAATGATCTAATTAGATCAATAAAGATATTTAGATTTATATATATATATATATATCTTGTGTGTTTGTGTACCTTGTCGTCGATATCAGTAATGTTTTGGACGAATAATACATCATACTTAAAGTAGTCTTCAAGAATACGACGAATGATATCCATAGTAAGATAAGTTCTACAAGATAGTATTAGTACAAAGTTTCCTTTACTTGTGCAAAGTCCTATATAGCCATTCCCTCCTTTTTGTTCTCTATATATTATCGGTTTACCTAGCATGGCCCATGTGAGAGGCATCGTAGACAGTAGGGCCGCAATTGTACCAAGTGACACGTCTTCCATCCTTAGGGATAAACTCGGTCTAAAAAAGAGAGAGAGAGAACAAAAGAAAAATATGGGTAGGTTAAATTCGAGGGAGCATTAACTTTACATGGTAATGACTTTTATATATATATATATATATATTCGTATATCTATTCACCTTTGTCTTGGTTAAAGAGTTTTGAAGATGCAAAGTAGGCTGAACCTTTTTGGCAGGTAAATGCCATTTAGGTTGCTGGCGCGAGGGTACAGCAGATTCGGCAGACATTAGGGTTCTAAATGCAGAAAATGGTCGAACGAATTGTAAAGGAGGCTTAACAAAGACGTGAGGCGAATATATATAGCAACGAAGGGATAAAGAGACAAGCACTCGCATCAAGGAAGGAGGTACCTGGCGGGACTTGAAGCGACCTGTTTTTTCTTTTTGGCAACGGTGGCTTGTGAGAGGGTTAAGTTAAGAAGTAAACCCAAAGAATAGGTTCATTTTATTTTATTTGCGGGTGAGTCAATATTTCGATGAATGAGTCAATCGATCCTATTTAAAGTAATATGAGTTGTACGGTCAAAAAAATAAAGACTATAAATGAAGAAAATGAAAAAAAAAATTGGAGAAAAGGATTATTTATAGAATCGATCAAAAAGGCCAAAAAGATAAAATAATAAGAATTGTTTAAATCAATAGATGTAATAAAGGGTCTTTATTTTTATTTTTTATTTATTTTTAATATGTTTTACTGAAACTCATTCAGTATAGAAGAAAGAAAGAGTAGCTGTACAGAATATACAAGATGTGTATGATTAAAAGATGTCTATTATCATCATAGTTGTGGCATTTCCGCTATCCCCGTCCCATTAATTTCTGGTACTCCCACCTTGGCCTTTTTGTATGTCACCACACCGCGCGTTTTGACCTGAACAATGCACAATTTAAGGTTATCTATCTACACAGAGTATTCGTACAATATAATCAATCTTTCCCTCCCGCCCCCACCCCCGCCCAAATCCTTTTTTTTTTTACCTTGCCACCCAATAAGCCAACACAGTACCCACTCGGAGCAGAAAGACCTTTGAGGGCCATGACAGCTGTCCCAGTGTGAACCAATGGCTTGACACTGTCAGCACATAGTGGACATTTGTACTTGGCGTCTTCATCATCACACAGCTTCTGGTACTGCTCTGGCGTTAAGCTCTCGTCACAGCTAGTGTGGATCCAATAATCACAAGAGTCGCATGCTACCATCTCGTTCTCATCCTCTTCGCTATCATCTTCCTTGTAAGTCTTTAGACAGACTGGACAAATGCGATCTTGTGTAAAATTATCGTGACATGTGCCGCAGTAAGTGGCCAGATAAACGGGATATTTGTACCGATCACTTGGGGGTGCAACTGCGTGATGATACGAATCGCCGCTCTTGCCGTCTCTCTCATCACAACTATGACAATCAGCACACAGAGGACAAAGCCATGAATCTTGAAAACATTCATTAAATAAGCTACAAAAAAGGGGGAGAGAGCCGATAAATTCATAGTATATTAAATGTACTCACCAGATGGAATCTTATCAAGTGGAGGATTACAACTATTTGTTTTTTAAAAGAAAGACCAAAAGATGTAAGTAACTTTATCAATGCATACACACAATCACACACACACACACATATATATATATATATGAGATTTAGTAAATTACCAGGTTGTGTGCCATCCTCGGTCACAGCCATCGCATATCATCAGCTTAGCCTCATCACCGGCTTCCTTGCAAATACAGCATACTTTACAATCTGGGCAAGACCATGGATATGATTCAACTGCCGCAACTTGCCTGGGTGTATCCAAATTGACACACACAGGATGATATCGCTTGGAGCATTTTGCACACTTTACCATTGCAAATACATCACAGACTGTGTTCTTTTCTTTACGTAAGAGAGCCACCGGTGCACTCAAGTAATGACAATCAGCACACTTGTTTTCAGCATATGTTGGAGCAGGTGTCTACAAACCAGACACAAATCGTATGAGGAATAAAGTTATACAGTACGTACACTACGAAAAAAAAGAGAGCATATACACATCAACAAAGTAATCTTACTTGTGTGCCTGGGGTTTCTTTGTTGACTGGCTTGTTCTGAGCTGCTACCAGAGGAGCATGTAACTGGCATTTTTCTCCTGGGAACATAACAACACGTTTACATGCTTGGCCTTTAGGTGTTATGAACCCACAAAGTGTGACAATAGGAGCAGGAGAAACTACCTAGTATAATTATACGTTAATAATAATACTACATTTTTTAAAAGAAAAAATACAATAATAAAGAAGATCACATATTATACAACTTACTGGAAGAGGTGTAGTTGGTTTACGGATTGGTAATGAGGTCATTGGTGGTTGTGGTGTAGGTTGAACACGTTGTTGTGTGTGCGTCACTGGTGCTTCCTTGCCGGTACCAGATTCCATAAACATTAGACTATTATTAACTGCTTGGTAGACTTGGTTGATGTAGTATTGTTGTGCCATAATTGATTGAGCAGTATCATTTAAAGTTGAGGGTGCTACAATAGTAGGTTTTGTTGTTTTGAATCGAACATCATCACTAAAAAAAAAGAACAAAGAAGGAGGAATGTGTCAGATTGTGTGTTCAACTATTAAAATGTGATTATAATAATATTATCTTGATGTGTGCGCAAGTCTCTTTCTCCTTTTCTTACATTGGATATGATGACTGAAACTGGCCGTCTATAAGAGCCATTGGATAGTCGTCTCGTTCAACATTTTCTTCAGGATCTGGTAGCAAGACAGATAATGCATCTTCCATCATTTCTTCAGGAAGTGTTCTCAAAGCATCCTCAACTTCGTAGGTATCATCAAGTAGACCCCTTCCGATTCCATTTCGCCTACTATGCATATTGTCGAACTGAGCTTCGGTGTTTCTTTCAATCTGATCGTATATAGGTTCAAATCGACACAGAGTTGGTTGTGTGAAAGAGGGCAGTTGAGTTATATTAGTGTGGACGTCAAAAAACGTAGGTTTGGCTAGTCTCCTTGCATGAAGTTTTGCATTGAATTCTCTCACAGCCAAGGCAGCATGATGCATCCAAGAAGCCTGATCAACAGGTGCTTGTGTAGAGTATTTATCAGACTGCATTGTTTCTGTAATCAATTGACGACGTGCGATAGGTAGATCTTCTGGTTCAGATTCGTCGTCGTCGTCTTCTCCTACATCGGAAGGTTTGAAATAATCATCTTTTTGTTGCTTTCCTTTTTTGATGATATTGTGACCAAAGCGTTTGAACACAGATCGCGCAGTGACAACAGCTACATCTCTGTTCTTGAACCAAGATACTAGCAGGCCCTGCTGAACTAGCCAAGCTTTTTCTTCTTCTGTAATACGGACTCTTTTCAGCTGTGGGTTCCTGTGAAAGAAAAGATAACTGTCACGGTACCCCAAAGCCTTTGCAGGATCCATAGCAAACATGAAGTTTTGTTTGCCACGATTTGGTAAGGTGAAAGTAGATACTTTGTAAGCACGCCCTTAATATTGTGTTGTTCATAATTAGTATGTCCTTCCTTGTTTGTTCTTATTTTTTTTTGTGTTTTGTTAATAAAGTCTAATAAAATTCCAATAATCGTCCTCACCTCCTAATAGGCGACCGTCTTTATCTATCTTCTTCTCTCCCGATTTGTCCGTCTCACTCTCTTCCTCTTTCTGTCGCTTTGTATCTTTCTCATCAGTATCTATTTCCATTGCTGTTTTGGATCGTCCACGTTTTCGAAGTACTCTCCGGGGCCGATCTTCTATCTCACTATCAGATCCAACTTTATTGATGGTAGGTGCGTTCTGAATTGGAATGCGATCCTCTAATGAGCTTCGTTCATTGGCATGATCTACATTTTCGTCCGTCTCAAGCTGATCTCTTGGCGGTCGTCCGCGGCGTCTTCTTGATGTAGCTGCTTCTACAAACAACAACAAGGCAAAATCAGGTCAATCAGTGTGGTTTATAGGAATAATAATAATAATATTTTATTTTATTTTATTTTTGCATTCAATAGCTAGGAAGTTTTTTTATGTTATGTATAAAAAAAAGGTTAAAGGTATAGAGGGAATTGGGAAGAAGGAAAAAATAAATAAAAATAAAAATAAATAATTAAATAAAAATGCTACATCAGACACGCAATGATTACCTCTGGTGGACATGGCATGCAAATGGACTTTTTCCCTGGCATTGGCATTTTTCCCTTTTCCGCTTTCCTTGTGGTCTAGCTAAATGCACCTATTTCAAACGTCACTCTGTTTTTGAGCAGTCACTAAAAACTCGTTTTCATTATACCAATGTTCGACACATACTTGACCTTTTTTTTTCCTTGTTTTACCTCGTCTCCAACTTGTAGAAAGAAATAATTCATCATGTCTCTCGTTGACAAAATCAAGGTAGAATTGCATTAAAAGCATCCAAGAAGAATTTCATAACTGATTTTTTATTTTATTTTTTGATTTTTAGGAAGTTGAAGTAAGTATTTAGACTCGATTCCGCACCCGTGAACGAGAATTTAATCATGGATGTAGAATGAGATGGCCAAGACCCAAAAGAATAAGGCTACGTCTTATCATTTGGGTCAACTCAAGGCAAAACTCGCCAAGCTGAAGCGTGATTTGCTTATGCCCACCAGTGGTGGTGGAGGAGGTGGTGGTGGTAAGTTACAGTTGTTCAAAGAGTTTTTTTTTTTAAAAAAAAAGAAGATAATGAAAGAAATACTTATGAGTCAAACTTTGATTTTCTAATGTAATTTAGTCGGTTTCGATGTCGCCAAGACTGGTGTGGCTCGTATTGGTTTCGTTGGTATGTTTAATTAATAATAACGAAATAGAAAAAGAAGGAAGAGAGAGAGAGAGAGAGAGAGAGAGAAAGGACAGCTTGATCTGTGATCTATGAAAAAAAATATTTGCTTATCCAAAAATGGGCATATTTTAGGTTTCCCTTCCGTCGGTAAATCCACTCTCATGTCCAAGCTTACTGGCACTCACTCTGAAGTCGGTGCCTACGAGTTCACAACCTTGACCACTGTTCCTGGTGTTGTTCAATATAAGGGTGCTAAACTTCAGGTATAAATATATATATTCAAGAGAGAGAGAAAATATTTTAGGTTTTCATCAGGAAAGTCTGTGGGAGATGGATCTGACAATATGTGGTGGATATGTTGTATTTTTACATAGATTCTCGATCTTCCTGGTATTATTGAAGGTGCCAAGGATGGCAAGGGTCGTGGTCGTCAAGTTATTGCTGGTAAGATAATTTGTGGATGAGGAGAGGGGAGGAGGGTTTTTTTTTTATAAAAAAGAAGAAGAAAAGTATGGGATATTCATGCGTTAATTGGATAGTCGCCCGTACTTGTTCGCTTATCTTCATTGTGTTGGATGTTCTCAAGCCAATGACTGATAAGAAGATCATTGAGAAGGAATTGGAAGGTTTCGGTATTCGTTTGAACAAGAAGCCCCCAGCCATTATCTTCAAGAAGAAGGAAAAGGGTGGTATTTCGATCACAAACACCGTTCCTTTGACACACATTACTCCCGAAGAAGTCAAGGCTGTCTTGAGTGAATACAAGATCCACAATGCTGATATTACTTTCAAGGAGGATAACACCATTGATGATTTGATTGATGTTGTCGAGGTAAGCTGGTTTTTGTGTGTGCAATAAATGATCTCTCTGTGTATCATAACTAAAAATACAATTATTTTTTGGTGTTATCTTTCTTTAGGCTAACCGGTATGAATTACTATTTTATGAGGCTAATTGATTATAGAAGGATCTTTTTTTTTCATGGTACTAACTACTGTTTTACAGTATCTATATCCCCTGTATCTATGTTTTGAACAAGATTGATCAGATCTCCATTGAGGAATTGGACCTTATCTACAAAATTCCCAATGCTGTGCCAATCAGTTCACACCACGAATGGAACTTTGACGAGTTGTTGGAAACTATGTGGAAGGTAAGAAGAGGATTTAGCTATATGTGAATGTGTGAATATATAAAGATATAAGGTGTAGGGTGTAGGGTGTGTACGAGTTTGAGTTTTTTTTTGGTTTTGTTAGAGAAAATTAATTAATTTCGTATGTGTGTATATAGAAATTGGCTCTTGTAAGAATTTACACCAAGCCCAAGGGACAACTTCCCGATTATGAGGAACCAGTTGTCATGACATCAGACAAATCATCCGTAGAAGATTTCTGTAACAACATTCACAAGTCCATTATGGAACAATTCAAGTGGTAAGTTTAATTGTATCTTCTGCTATAATTTGTGTTGGTCTTGATGACGATTTTGAATTACTTAAATTATATTTTATTGTTTGTTTTCAGTGCCTATGTCTGGGGTTCTTCTGTAAAGCATAACCCCCAGAAGGTCGGTAAGGAACATATCCTTCAGGATGAGGATGTCGTTCAGATTGTGAAGAAGTAAGTTATTTGAGAACATGTTCAATTTTATTCAACTTTTGTGTATTAATTCATAAACCTCTTTTTACAGGATTTAATTATAAAACACTCAAAAAATTAATAAACGAATATTACATATATATATGTATGTATGTATAAATATATATATGTAAATGAACATATAAAGAAATAAAGAAATAAATGTAAAAAAAGTACAATTCAATCTACATATCCATAAACCATGATATTTAATAGTTGGAAACAAACACTTCTTGAAGACCTTTTTTTTAAAAAAAAATCTTATGTACAGTGGTCCCTCGATAATTTCAAGGCCAAGGCGGGAACTAAGTACCTTGAAATTATCGAGGGACCACTGTAGTTGTTTTTTCTTTCTTTGTGAAAATTGCTAATCCGTGTGACTGACATAGATATTGTTTTATCCCAAAAATTGAAACAACCTACTATAAGCTTCCAAGAATGTGTATCTTCTCTATATCTTAAAAAGAAAGGAAGATACTCTGCATATGACTTACATTTGGTCTCTATATTTTTATACCAAGTTCATGAATTACCTGCGCGCAGGTAACTCACTATGCAATTGTGTCCCAATTGAGTTGAACAATAGAGACAAGTAAACATTTAACTTTGAAGGGAATATCTGAATATCACACATATTATAGACGATGGTGATTGTGTGCCCAATTGAAATAAACAGTAGAAAAGTAGCTAAAGTTAAGGATAAAATGGCACACCTATAGAATTTTGATTTACAGAAGAGAACTTTCGGCTATCGAGACAGTTATAAAAAATTGAAAGGCTTTCATAAATTTAGACAAATGGGTAGGGCAAATGGGTAGTGAATACATAAACTCATAACATTATAACACATACTAGAGCTCTAAATCATAGATGGTACAAAACAAAGTCAAAATGATTTAGTTATTTTTTTTTTTAAAAAAAAAACACACACACACATATCAAAGTGCAATATTATATGTGAAATCCAATTATTTAATTTTCACTTGCCGACCTTTTTTTGCTACTTTATTTATAGCACATAAAAAATAGACCGTTTAGTAAGATTTTTTTCTAAAGTAAGCTGTTAAGTCCGAAGTAATAGAATTTTGCTTTTTTGAGTATACGACATTAGGAGAAATAAAATATTAAAACACCGTCGCATTTTTTTTTGTGTACGAGAATTGCTACCCTCACAAAAATGCTACGCTCCCAGGTGTTTTTAAATTACTAAAAACAGCTTAGCTTGCTTGAGTTCTAAAAATGCCCTGTAATCAACCAAAAAGACTGGGAATTTGAAATTTAAATTTATTTTATTTTACCTTACTTTACTTTTTTTGCTTTTTTTACAAGTTTTCAAATAGTCTTTAATTTTTTATTATTATTTAATAGCAAGTAATTGATCCTCTTATTCCAACTATAATTTTTTAAACATTATACTGCATTGCAATTAGAGTATTTGTGATTGATTTTGGATTAGTATCTCAATTTTAGAAAAAATAGATACTGTGAGAGTGTTATTTATTAAAGAAGGTTAAAATAATATTCGAGGTGATCAAAACTGATCTTGGGTTAGTATCTTAAGATTAGAAAAAGTAGATACTGTGAGGGTGTTGTTTATTAAAGAGATAGAATAATATGCTTATATATATCAATCGATAAAGACTTTCTTTTTCTTCCTATTCAATTTGCCTCTCTTAATATTTGTACCTCCGCTGTGCCACGTCTGGTACTCAAAATCCACCCAGGCACACATAAATCTACCTACACACACACAAAATCTACCCAGGTACGCAAATCTACCCACACACACAAATCTACCTACACACACATACATTCATTCGGACACACACACAAATTTTTTTGTGATGAATTCATAGACCTATATAAAGAATAAATTAATAAATAATAGTATACTTTTTGAAAGTAGAACCCCCCGCCTCCCCTCAAGTTTTATTTAATTCTTCCCTATGAAAAGTTTAGCTACTATAAATTACAATTAATGTATAAGAATAAGTCGAGCATTTTATTGAATGAATAGTAGACTATAAGTGATGTGGTTGTAAAACGGTAAGAAGGTTTGCAGAGAATTTAAAGGCAGAGTTTAAGTTACTTTCTTATATTCCAACTTTGTAAAGATATAGATAAGAAACTTTAGGAAGAAATATTATCATAAATTTTAGAATATGAGTATACAGAATATGAAATAAAGTAAAAAGAGACTAAACAACACTGCAATTATTACTATTTTATTTGAACCTAAAGTTTCAATTTTTTATGGGTTACGTTTTTTTGTTTGTTTTAGTATCAAACATTTATAAGAATAAGATATTCAAATAAACTTAAACTAACAAGATTTCTCTTTCTTAGAATAGTATAGTTATTGATTCTTAAACTGTCTCAATGGGAATAACCAGTCTACCTCGTCTATATCTTTTTCTTTATTTTATTTTTTTTTATCTTCAAAAAAATTAGAAGATTAGCAAGATCAGATAATATACGAAATCTGCCTTAAAATCTGTCTTTTTGAATATAACGTAATAAACCAAAATTACATCAAATCTTAGACAATAGAAGATATAATTATAGGCCAATTAGGATAGAGCAGTAGGGAAAACTTGTATATTAACTGCCTGTAGGATAAAACCCCCTCTTTCCTAAGGGGAGAGGTGAGAGATTAGTAATATATAAGCATGTTCTTATAGCTTGGAGAAAAAGGAAAAGAAACAGGAATATCTAACTATACTTCTTTATTTACTTATTACACCAAAATAAAGAGCTGAAGAACTGTGTTGTCGCAATTGATTTTAAAGAGAATTCTATCAGGTATTATTAGAGTCCTGTGTGAAATAAGTTTCTTTTTATTGTATGGAAAGTGAGTTAAAACTGGTTCAAGAAACTTTATGAGCTGAAATCTAAGAGAAAATGAATTTTTTTTGGTGAGAAAAATAATAAGTATAATAAGAGCAAGAACAAATGCTGTAATAACAGATTTATAGGACACTTTGAAACTTGCTCTTTCCAAAAAGACAGTTAATATTAGATAGAGTTATATATGTTAAATGTTTGTACAAATGCTTTGCTAAAATCACAAATGTGTAAAGATTTGTGATTTATTCATTTTTGCAATTCATGATATATTTTTACATGTCTTATAAAGATACTTTAATAGTATACCGTGTCAATTATATCATTACCTCTTTCTTTCTTTTCTTTTTTGATTTTTAAAGCTTGCCTAATATATGAAATTAAGTATCCAATTCTTCATTATAAAAAAGAATATTCCTCAACTAAAAAGATGCGGTTTTGTATAGTAAGAATTGAAATACAATTTTATTAAAGTAAAAAAAAAGTTGACAAATGTATACGAAGCTTGATATGTAGGACAAGTGGGTGTAATAATGGGGTTTTTAATCCATGTATTCAACAAGAATTTATTTATAGCTATTGCTTGGCAATTTTGAGTAGCAGATGAGTTGAAAACGATAAAATGTTGATTAACTGATTTGAGGTATTTCAAGTATTTCTATGTATTTTATTGTCTTGGGTGTACATGTAAGAGATGTATTAATAGATCATGCAGGCTTAAAAATATATGCAAGGAATTTCTTTAGAAAAAAATATTATTTCTGTACAAGAGCAAAGGCAATTGTAATTGCAAGTTCAAAAACGAAGACTGAAATTAAATTTAGGAAGAAAGTTTAGAACTAAAGCTTTATTACTGTGCAGAATAAAATAGTAAAGATCATTTTGATATACATTGACTTTTTTCTTTTAGTAATATGAATACAACAGAGATCAATATTGCTGTTGCTTTTGATGTCATTTTAGTTAAAGCTAGTAATTATTATTATTAACCATATAACTTTCTTATCTTTAGTCTTATGCTGTGTACTCTCTAGTATGTCTTCATATCATTTCCTTTAATTTCATTTCAATTCAATTCAATTTGTCTCGTCTTGTATCGTCTCATTCCATTACTTGAAAATCCAGCTGTACGTCACTTTGCACGAAACTTTGTGCTTCTAAAGAGATAAACAAGATGCCATATTACTTTATTCCTTGGTATTCTTGGATATTTATCTACTAGTATTTTGCATGTAAATATTAAGATAAACTTTATCAACAGTGCTGTCTTTTTATACCTCTAAAGACATTTCATCCTAAAGAACAAATTATCATTTTGCTTTTAAAGATTACGATATAGTTTAATAACATAGCTGTAATATCTTCTAGTATATCTACCTGCATTTATCTTTTTTATGAAAAATAAGACCCTTTTAATTGTATCCGAAATAAAAACATCAAATTGAAAACAAAATATTAAGAATCTGGCTGTTGTATGTAAACTTTTTTCCTATTTGCTTAATACATACATAAGAAGCAATTGGTAAATTCATATGCTTCTATCCCTTTATATATATATATGCGTATGTGTATGTGTATCTTGAGATGATAATCTAGTTTGTAAAGTAAGCTTATTATGGTGCACATGTAATACCAAAATGTTTTACCGCTTTCCACCTTTTCTTTATCTTTATCTTTGTCTCTGTACATCAATTCAACAATTAAAAGGCGTCACGTGAAATAGGATCAACCTTTTATACATATATATACCCATATACATACTCAATTATTTAAAGGGACGTCAAAACAACAAACTGGTCCGAGACTTCGGCGAAAATTTTCTGGACCTGTCATTAATCTTCTAAATATTATAACTGATTTGATTCAAACAATTGTCCCTTTATCTTATTTTTATAAACCAATGCTAAACATACACACAGCATATATGTATGCATTTTAATTGGCTTGTCATGTAAAGATAATAGATGGCTTGAATTTAATATGAAGAGTATTACTTTGTTTTTCTTTTATATTATCAAGCAATCAAGCAATTGAAAGGCTAATAAAATTAGTTCAAGATAAGCTTTCTGTTATTTATTTATTTTATATTTTTTTAGAGTTCTGTGATTTTCATTCATGCTATCTTTAAAATATATATATATATATTTATTTATATCACTCAATCAAAATGAAGGAATGAATGAATCTATAAAGCAATCGATCCCCTCATTCTCACTCTCCTATTTCCCCTTATATATATATCTTATTAAAATAATTCATTATTTTTTATTAATATTATTTTCTGAAATCAGTGGTATATTATAGTCCTTTTATGCTATATATATGATGCGATAATATTAGCTCTTAACAAGAAGACTTTAACGCTCTTTATATATATATATATATATATATATATATTTACACTATTGTTGTTGGGTCTCAATCGGAATACAGTGTTTGTATAGAAAATGATCGAGACCAGGCTTGGTAAACTTTCTTTAAAGATACGCATGTATATATATCTCCTAATTTTAAGGATTATGTATCCATGGAAACTGAGAGCTAAAAAAAAAAGGAAGAACCAAAGCGAAATAAAGAGAGAGAAAAGTATAATCCAGATAATATTTTCCTTTGTTTAACTTGGTAATTTATAAGGTTCAGTAAATTTTCCAATCATACTGAATAAACAATTCAGAATGTATTTTGGTATATAGCATGTGTATAACATGTATATCATGTTTATCATGTTTATCATGTTTATCAGGTAACTAGAATACATTATTTGCACAGTTCATAAGAACACAGTCATGTAAAAGAAAGAACTTTGAGTATCTTGTTCAGCTGTACCTTTTTTGTTTTGTTTTGTATATATGTAATTGTATAATGATTATGTACTAGATCCAAACTTGCTTGCATTCAACAGCACAACCGTCTTTTTTGCTTGTTTGGCTGTTGTATTTATTATAATACGCACAACGAAATCAATGTGTCTGCAGATCAAAATAGAAACCGAGAATCGACGGCAAAAAAATATATAAAAATAAAAAATAATAGCACACTCACACGCATATTTGCACACATACAGGCACACACGTACTCACAATAACACACTTAATGATAAGTTCTGATTAGTTGCTACCCTTCAATTAATCATTTTTATTTTACCTCTCTTTAAAGTCCCGTTGTTTCTCTTCCTCACCACAGCCCCCTACACACACACCAGCCAATATATGTATATTGTTTCTATAGCCTATATACATGCCGTTTGATTGTCTTGGCTATATTTATACCTCTTTGTCTTGATATGCATATACACATATGTTTATATATAGAGTATATGTTTGAAAATAATACATGAAGGAAATATATGTAAATATGTATATGTATATATCAGAATGATCAAAGAATTATCAATATATACATGCACAAATGGAGTCTCAATTCTCAAAAAGAAGCTTTACAATCTGTTTTTGTGTCATTAGCTTACTATGACACAAATATCCTTTTGAATACGCACATTTAATTACAATCCGACTTTACTTACTTTGATACACCAATAATAAAGATAATAAGAGCAATAATAAGAATCATAAGAATGAGAATAATAGCAGTAATATCAACAACAACAACAGCAACAACAACAACAACAACTAGTGTTTCAAATTATCTTGAATATAATCCTCAATCGGTTGATTTTGTTTCTTATGGTTTCAATTGTGAGAACATTTATTATATTATATATGTATATATTCTCTCTACTAGAATATGTAATTATTATTATTTTTAAGATATTTCCTGCTTCTGCCAGGTCACACCAGGTCACACCATGTCACACCATATATGAGATTTTGACAGTGGGATTTTTTTTTTATTTTTTTTTGCCTACTTGTTTGTCTATATTCTCTATGTCTTCCTTATGTCTAAATAGCTTGTCTCACTGTCTGTCTATCCAGGCCGTGAGAAAAAAGTGACTTGCACAACTAAAGTTTTTCTTTTTTGTGTTCTTTTTTTTTGTAATTTTTTTTTTACAGGGTGATAAGATACCCTTTATTTTTGGGTCTTTCTTTCTCACTCACTTTTTTTTTCACTTCTTTTCCCAGCTTGGAAACCAATATATAAAATAAAAGAAATATAAAATATATTCGTTTAACGCTTCATAGACAGATCATAATAAAATGTTACCAATGAGAGCCGTCACACGTACCGTACTAAGATCTTCCCTATATAAACCCTCATCCACTCTCTTGTTTTTATCTTGGTCTCGATCTCAGTCTCAGTTTCGGCCTCGGTCTCGGTCTCTTTTCACAACAATGTCGTCCTCTAAGCCTGCCGTATATGATCTTGTTAGCGACACTGCGACTATCCCCACCGATGATATGTTTGATGTTATGAAATCTGCCACCCGAGGAGACGATGTCTATACTGTAAGCATTTCAATTATCAATATATACATAACATTCACTATAAGAACAACAAACAATAATTGCAAGTAGATTAATTAGCCATTTTTATTATATTATATAATGGAATTGATGAATTTAATAATCATAACAATATATGAATATGTATCTGTATGTATTAAATTAAATGTCATATGTGCACCTGTATATACTTTATCTTTCTAGGCTGATCATTCTATCATTAAACTCGAGACATATATGGCAAACCTCTTGGGCCATGAGGCAGCTCTTTTCTGTGTTAGTGGCTGTATGACTAATCAGCTTGGCCTCAGAGCCTTACTGACTCAGCCTCCACACTCTGTCCTTTGTGACTCCAGAGGACACGTCTTTGTTTACGAATGTGGTGGAATTGCTTATCATTCGCAAGCCAGTGTCTCACCCGTCACACCAAAGAACGGACTTCATTTGACGGTTGCGGATGTCGAATCTAACATTAATAACGATAATCTGTGTGGTGCTCTTACCAAAGGTATATAGACATATACATAACTATATATATGTTTACATATTCACTGTATTCATTGGGCTATTAAAGCTACACTAAAGAGAGAGATAAGAAATAGTAAAAGCAATAATAATAACACTATCTATCTATTTTTTTTTCGATAAGTAATCTCTTTGGAAAACACTCTCAATGGCACAATTATGCCTTATGACGAAATGGTAAAGATCCATGACTTTGCTCGCTCTAAAGACCTGAAGCTCCACTTGGACGGTGCTCGTCTGTGGAGTGCAAGCCATGCAACAGGTATCCCAATGGACCAATACGGCCGACTGTTCGATACTGTTTCAGTCTGCCTCTCAAAGGGTGCTGGTGCTCCCATCGGCTCAATTCTGGCCGGTTCAAAGGACATCATCCGCCGTGCTCGCCACCTGCGCAAGCTTATGGGCGGAGGATGGCGCCAGGCTGGTATGCTTGCAGCAGCAGCAATGCACTGCATCGAAACCGTCGTCCCCACTATGCCCGAAACCCACCGCCTGGCCGCTCACCTGGCAAACAGCTTAGTCAAGCTGGGTGCAACTCTGCCCATCCCATGTCACACCAACATGGTCTTTGTGGACTTGGCTCCAATTGGTCTGACAGTTGACGAACTTGCCGATCGCCTGGAAGTCAAGAACATCTTTATTGCCAGATCCCAAGGCACTGCAACCCGTATTGTTTTGCACTACCAGATCCCGACTGAGGCAATCGACGAGATCATCAAGACTACAACCGAATTGGTCAATGAAAAGACCAAGGCTGGATTTGTCAAGAAATCCTCAGCAGCAGCCATTCAACAACAAAAAATAGACGAACAGCCAGCTGCTTACAAACCATCGTATCCTTCTGCTCCAGCTCCAGCTTCGGTTGCGACTCCATCTGTTCTTACTACTGAACCTACTTCTGCAACCGCAGCAGCATAATTAATATACATTCATTTAATATTTTTTTGTTACATTCTCTGTTCTTTCTTTCTTACTTTACTTTACTTTCTTTTTTTTTCTTGTTGCAATAAACCTCATCATTATCAACCTTTTACATAATTGGTTTCAAACAATATATATATATATATATGGAAATTGATCAAGATCTTCCACCTATTGAATACTACTTTTTTTTTAAAAGTACAAGCCTTTACCCCCTTTGTACAAAAAGAAAGTATGTGACACTTTGAACTTGGATAGTGTGCCACTGTTTTTTTTCATAGTGTACATGTGTATATGTGCCTGTGTGCCTGTGTGCCTGTGTGCCCATGTGTCAGAGTTTTTGTATTTATGTATTTATTAATCCATATATGTTATTCGATTTGGAGGTTTCTTTTTTGATCAAATAAACTATAGACCAGACTATACCAAGTTTAACTAAAATAAAACCTAAAATAATAATAAAACTAAACTATATTCATGTACTGGTGTAATATTATTCTTTTCCAAGGTAGCTCGTTTATTTATGTATTCTTTTTTAAAAGAAGTAGAAGAAGTAGAAGAAGAAGAAGAAGAGAGAGAGAGAGAGAGAGAGAGAGAGAGAGAGAGAGAGAGAGAGAGAGAGAGAGAGAGAGAGAGAGAGAGAGAGAGAGAAGATGATGTTATGTGTGTATGTATGTGTATAGGTTGAATTGCATCAAAATTGATATATAAGAAGGAAGAAGAAGTTGTATACAAGAAGAAGAGAAGAAAAGGAAAATGTAGAGAAAGAGCTCTGTTTTTATATGTATATAATTTATTTATATGTTTTTTTTAATTGACAAGAGTTTCTTCTCGCTTTTCTTCTTGATCGGTTGCTAAGGAACGAACAGCACGTAATTGGTGCATTGCTGGAGCCACATTTACAGGAGAAATAGCCGTCGAGGCTTGGGATTTGGCTCTGAGGCGTGCAACCGAAGCAGACTTTCTGAGATGAGGATCTGAAGAATTGGGTATCGAGAGACCAGTAGATAATCCAATATCAATATCAAGAGGTTCTTGCGAGAGAGACGAGCCATGGGATGAAGAAAGAGATGGTGAGTCAAAGATGTCATCAACGTTAAGGAGCGCAGTTGTGGGAGATGTGGCAGGTGAGAGATATTCGGGTGAGGTACTAGGTGTCTGCTGATTAATAAGGTATGATACATCTTGCATATGATTATGCATATATTGTTGTTGTTGTTGTTGTTGTTGTTGTTGTGACTGAGGTTGTTGATTTTGTTTACGGTTTAATAGAGTTTCTGCTAAATTTATCAAACCTCTTTGTTGCGGAGAAGTTGAAAGTGGATTTTCTCGATCCAATTGCATGGTCACACTATCAGACAGGGATGGACTCAGCACAACCTCGGATGAATCTTTGGCAAACCACCGCCGTTTCTTTGGCTTTTCGGCTGTAGAAGCGCTGTGTGAAGGTGTCAGTAAACTGGGCAAATGTCGATCGGGTACAGCGGAAAACAGTTCCGGCAGAGATTTGGCAGTTGACAAAAGTTCTTCGTCTGCTTTCAATTGCTTTGGGTTAATTTTATTTGAATGTTCTTTTGTTGTTGTTATTGCTGATGCTGATGCTGATGCTGATGCTGATGCTGATGCTGATGCTGATGATAATGATAATGGTGATGGTGATGATGTAGTTCCTGCTGCTGTTGCAGTTGCTGTTGTTGGTTGTGGTGCTGATGCGGTTGATGATAATGTTGATAATGGTGATAATAATGATGCTGATGCTAATGCTGATGCTGATGCTAATGCTGATTCTTTGTTTGTGGTCGATTCAATAGGGTCGAGTTTTTCTGTAGATGACTTTTCATTATTTTGTGTCGTGGCTGTTAAACTAGTAGCAGTGGTTGATGCAGTTTCAGTTCCAGCTCCAGCTCCAGTTGAAGGGGTGTCGGTCTCGGGAGAATCACCAAAGATACCTCCGGCACCATCCGTGGGAAAGAAAACAATGTCATCCATGTTGGGCAAAGCCATGGTCTCGATAATGATTTCCTGGATCTTGGTCTCAATGGCGTTCAGGACAACCGAGAACACAACCTGTTTGTCCCAGACGACAGGTTCAACAATCCAGTCCATTTTTGGAGCCTCGTAAAACCCATACCAGATGCGATTCGTGGGAGGTTCTTTGATCTTCATGAGGAATTTGCCATGCATTTCTTTGAGGGTTATGGCCAGGACAATGTCTACAGTCAAAGGGGGTAGTCGATCCGAGTACCTCCATTTCAGCACGGTCTCGATCTCGATCCTGAACCCTCCGTTGTATTGCATTGTGGCCTCTGCAGTCAGCTCTCCGGTCGGACTGAGCCCCAGGAGCCGTGGCTGTGTGAAAGAAGGGATGGACTGGCCGGGGTCAATGGAACGAACCCGGATAGGACCTAAGAAAGGTGGCCGCTGGGAATTCAGCTTGTCGATCTTGAACACTGCCTTTTTTAATAACATCTCTTTCACTTGGTTGGTCTTGTAGACTCCAAAGAAAAGTCGCCCGAGCATTGCGTTGAGCCACTGGGTCTGGAAATGATGTTCGTCGCTGTGCACGGTTGTGATCAGCTGGTTCATTGATGCCTGGTCAAAATGGGTGGTCTCGTGCAAGCGGCGGTTCCGACTATTGTTGTTGCTGCTGCTGTTGTTGTTGTTGTTGCTCAGCGTAGAAGTGGGTGCCTGACCGCTTTGAGGCATTTTTAATAAACTAGCTTTTCGCAAAGCAAAGTACCAATCTTCCTTGTCGACACATCGATTAGTGTTTACATAGTATGCCTGATCTTCTGTCGATGGTGATTTTTCTAGGGACGAGTCAGTCGAGTTAACAAGTGCTGATGTTGAGGCTGACGTTAATGTTGACGTTGGTAATGACGTTAATGTTGAGGTTGACGATGTTGCCGTTGTTAATGCTGGTGTTGATACTGATGCTGATGCTGGTATTGTTGATGCTGCTGATGCTAAAGTGACAGGTTGTTTTTTCTCTAATAATTTAATCGATTGTGGTCGTGAAAAGAGTTCAAAGTCCTGTAGACCGGGTGGATGTATGCTGACTGTATGGTTGGTAAGGTTAATGACACCTTTGCACTCCTGCTGCTTTTCGGAATCGTACAAAAAGAGGGTGGTGTATTTTAGGACAGCAAAATAGACATTGTTTGCGGCATTTTTGGTTCCTTTCTTTCCGGAAATATATGACTTTACTAATTCGCCAATGGATGCATCAGGTGAGGACAGCTGGTCATCCCGACACACTTTGAGCCATCCGACTTTGTAGAATTGACCGGCTGATTGATCGTCTGAATAGGCAGGATCGTCTTTTGATTTGATTTTATTATTGCTTTTATTATTTTTGTCATTGTTATTTTTATGTGTATTTCTAAGAATCCTGAGCGGTCTTTTGATAAGCGAGAGGGCGTACGAAACCAAGAGAATTATGAAGAGTAGGACCGGAAAGAGCGTGAGACCGCCGAGCAGATAAACGATCGCTAATGAGCTTGTTGATGCCATTTAGAGTATAGTAAACCAAATGACCATTCAGGAGAGTAAAAGAACTTGGCGCCTATATAGATATAGATATATGTATGTGTATATGTATATGTATATGTATATGTATATGTATATGTATATTTGTATATAGTTATAGGTATGTATGAGGAAGAGGAAGAGGAAGGGAAAAGAAGTTAAAGATAAGGTATATAAAGAGATATAGAGAAAGTTAGAAGAGGAAAGGGGTCAGGTTGGGGGGGTTAAAGGATGAGGTGGCTGTTTGGGCTTTGGCTTGTGACTGAGGGCTTTTTCTTTTTTTTTTATTACTATTATTTTTATATGTATAATATAAATGCTAGGCTTTTTATATAAAGAGATTTCTCTTCAGAAACAAAATTCGTACATTGATTGTTGCATTTATATAAATTTTTGCTGTCCTTCTTTAACGTTTCGGTTATCTTGCATGTTGTTAGGATGACACACTCCATTACGTCACCCCGTTTTGTCCTTCTTTTTAACTAACTTGATTTTATTTTTGGTTGTTGAATTACGTTGACAGGTCTATTGAGCTCGAAAATTCCCTTTATTGAACAACGTGAATTATGGAATTATGTTTCAATTCCATATTTATCCATATATCTAGCTATTCTTTTATGGTGATAATGATGATGATCTTATCCTCCTTTAATAATCTACATAAAACCAAAAGACCAAAAGACCAAAAGACCAAAGAGGTCTATAATAAGGAGGTTAAATATGTATATTTATAATTATAATCATAATTATAAATATAAAAATATAAAAAAGACTTGGTAATGCAATTGCCTTTACAAATATGTTATATTACAAGGCACCACATCAAATGGGGTTTTGTCTTAACAAACGTGGCTACACGGACCAAATTCTTGGTTGAAAATCATGTGTAATTGTCATGTGGAGAACTATTAAATTGTAGTTTGATTGACATATCTTTCTCTCTTTTATATACATATGTAAGAAATGTTTATCAAATACCCAGAGTACAAATGCATAAAACGTATATGTATATAATATTAATATTAATCAAGATGGTGATAATTAAATTCTAAAGAATTCGTTTCAATTTAATCGATCAATCTATCAATTATCATTAGAGATGCCGTTGGAATTACGGATTTTTTGATTATCCTTACTGTTGCTACCTGGATATATCTCTTTGTCGAGCCTGTTTCGCTTTTATTAAAACAGTTCAAAGCACAATCCAAATCTTATTTTGCCACTAAAACAATATCTGTAATTAATACAATTCTATAGCCTGACCACTTACTTTATATTTATCTATCATTAAGGATAAAAAATAAAACCCCAAGTCAAACAAACAAAATAAAAGAAAAATAAAATGACATATGACATGACATGCTTTTACGCGGAATTTACAAATCGCAATTATTCCCATAATTGTATTTTTTGCACATTTTTTTTTCTACTTTACTGCTTCACTGCTAAAAGTCACATACTTCTCTCTATTTCTTATTTCATTTCATTGTTCATTACTTAACTATAGCCATTTTGTTACAGTTAGGCTAGTGGATATTGGCGGCTATATATATAAAAAAGGGTAATTGTCGTTCAAATACGAATATGCAAAAATAAAAAAGAGGTTTAGTCCATTGCACTTCACAAGACGGTGCTTCTAATTACATAGCACCTTTACACATTTCATTTAATAAAAGAGCAACTTTGAAGTTTGATCTAATCTTATTGTTTTTGTCTAAGAATATATTCGATAAACCAAGTACAGTTTCTATCAGTAAAACATGGTTATCAATCCAATTCAAGCAAAAAAGAGACCCAAGGGTAAGAAGGAAAGATAATGAATAAGATTGATAATGATATCCATGTAAAACAGAAAGCTAGGCACTATGTATAGGTACCAGTAGGAGAATGGTCTTAAAGATGGTAAATGGACAGGTATCCAGAAATAAAGGGACACTATCTTTTCATGGATAATACTCCTACTCCTGTCCATAGCTCAACTAACATAGGAAAATATATTCACTCTAGAGGATATCAATATGTATATACTCTTTCATATTCCTCTGAATTGAATCTAATCTAGCAGCTCTGTTAAGTTATTAAGAGCAAAGTTAAACGAAATATATTTTTGGAAAAAGAATTGTTGATAACTAAAACTAGTGGGGCATATGATAGCTTATATGTAAGTGATTTCAATGGCTTTGGTTCTAATTCTGTTAAGTGTTTTTGGAAATGCTTCAATAAAGAGAGGCTATGAGCATCGATGTGCCTTTTTAGAAATCAGCCCTACCAAGTAAGCTATAAAAAAAAAGAAAGTGATGCTTATTACTTATTACTTATCTTTCAAATCGCAAGCCACAAAAGCAATGTCGGTCCTTGGTGGCATCAATAAACGAGTAGATGCTAGGGTGGGTGGGACGCCGCTTAGTTTCCCAAGACTTTCCATCATTCATAGGTCGGCACAGCGTGCGAATGTTCTTCAAATTGACAAAGAAAACCAATTCTTCCAAGGAGCGGGGAAACGTGAGTTGACCAATCTCTTGCATGAGATACATTCTATCATGAATCCTTCAATTGCATTTCTAAATTTTTTGTTGACAAAATATGATTAGCAAAGATAATTTGAATGGCTGTCCTAAGAAAAAAGAAAACATTATTACCATTTATTTGAGTGATTTGTCGTTTGAATGCATTCATATGTTTATTGAACTGTTTAGAAACCCATTTCTGTGCTTCAAACTCTGAGTCTGTAGTCAAAGGATGGTATCATGAGCGTTCAGTTATTGCTTCTTGCGAAGACTAAACATACTAATCCCAAGCATTCTAAACACATAAAAGAACCTCGTTCCATGCTTTGGCTTGTAGAAGTCAGCAGACAGGGAGGAGTATCATGAGCTTTCCGTATGGCTTTCAAGAAGTGGCCATCGTACTAATCCCAAGCATCTTTCATGCTGCTCAACTAACAAGATGAGAAATGCAACAAAAAAAAAAAAAGGCTTTTGCTGCGGATGATTATCTTTTTATAGATGGAGCCAATCAAATGATTATTTAGGACAACAAATCGCGTAACGCTGATACGTCAGCACTGGAGTTGTAATATTAATGATCCCTTTCCACGCTAATATTAGGGGGTCAACATTTTCTAATGGGACACCACATTTTATGATGGGAAACGATGTTTTGATTTTACCGGATCACAGATTGTGATTTGCTGTCCGGTATCAAATAACTATATCTGGTCCCTAAGGATTCATACCTATCATAATAAAGATACTTTAATATAAGGCAGGATTATAGCTTTGGCCAAGTGTAAAAGCCTTTTCTTAAACATGTAATATTATACTTAAAGGTTTATGCTACCTGTAATAAATTAACTGATACATAGAGAGTAATAAAGTAATTACCTAACATGCTACTTCAAGACATAATATCCTAACAGGAAATGTCGTGCCCCACCCTAGAAACGTCGTACCCTTCCCTTATGGCATATTTCAAGTACACTCGAGTTGGCTTACTCTCTCTAGTTACAAGCGCAAAATATTGCATCTTTGCAATTACCATTCCCATACCACTGTAACCTTTAACTGGTGAGACAGGAAGATGCTCTTGACCAAAAAAAAATTGTCTTGTCCATTGAAAAAAACGGATATTTTTATTGATAGGATTCATATTGGAGTGATTTCTAGAAGGTACTTATTAACACCATAATTTTTAATTGCTAATCTGCAATGCGCAAACTAGTCTCTTTGCTATCTCCGAGAAAAATAATATTTTTTTTCTCAATATAACTGACTAACAGTTCTTACGAGTTGAGTATACAATAAAAAAGAAGGTTTTATATTTAAATGAATTAAGAATTTCAGGGCACATCGTTTTGCTCTGAATGATTGGAGAAAAGGCATCCGACCTTGGACAAGTGGTCTCAATAAATTAATCCGGCAAAAAAAAAGGTAGTGCCCCATCCTGAAAATGTTGTCCCCGTAAGATTGCTGAATTCTGATTCCAAACGCTCTTTTTCACTTGATAAATGATGTGTATTGATTATGTTTTTTTTTCTTGTATCGTGTAATTG